TCTCCAAGGGGTTCTCCATGCCCGCAAGCTCTGCGACTTGCGCAGCTTCAGATCGCGGACCATAGGTGGCATACGACACCACCTTCAAGCATTTGGGATTCTTTGCTAGAGGATCCTCCGGGTAGATGTGCCCATCAAGCTCTGCGACTGCCCAAAGATCCGCATCAGGAGCCACCTCAGCCTCAACAGGCGGAGCTTCAGGCATAGGCAGCGTCTCCATGTTGTCGGTACCTACATTGAAAGTCGGCAAACACAAAATAGCGAGACTGGGGAAAAATAGTGCCCTGCAAATATGTGCGAGAATGAATTTCCGACATCTTTGCAGCCAGGTTGCCGAACGCAAAAGATGCGCTGGAAGGATTCGCCTGGGAAACCTCCAGACCATCATTTTCGAGCCCATTCAAAGCCTCATCCGTCAAAGGTTGCAATCTCGACATCTCAAGCGTCAATTTTTCAAGTTCTGCTTCTTCTTTCTCGAGATGCAAAAGCTGAAGCTCATGTTGAAGGGCCTCTTCCTGCTTGTTGAGTTCCTCGAGAGCTTGCATTTGGAGTTCAAGCTCTTGCAGGTCTGCTTCCTCTTTCTGAAGCTGGCTCGCAAGCTGCTGGTCCAAGATCTCCAACTGACAAAGGTGCTTTCTCCCCATCTCCAGCTCGCGTTTCATTTCTTCAGTGCTGCTGCATGAAGTGGGCTTGCCCTCATGCAGCCCGGGCTCTCCACAACGGGCTGGAGTTGCAATGGGCCTCGTGCTGCAAGAGTCCTCAGCTGAGTTCATCTTCCCAAGCTTCGCCGGCCCATCTGGCGATACACATTCTTTCTCCGTTGGGGCTTGAACTACGCAAGGCAGCTCACGAAGCTGTGACACCTCTCCGGAGATCTTGCCACACTTCTGACATAGGAAGGCACGCGAGGGGTCCTGCCGGTCATGCTTCACAATATGGTGCTCCCAAGGTTTGACCGGGAAGTCAACAAATGCGAGTGGGTCAATCTTGCTGGCTTTGCTTGAAGGGGCACTCATCTCGCCAAGACCTCGGATTCCAACACAACACTGATCACGAACCAGCCTCTAGATATGCACTCACACAATCTCACGCGAATCATTCTTTTCAAAACTTAATCGGTGCTTAGGGACCATCTCCTGTGCTTGGCTTTGCGAGAGGTCGTTTGTTGGGCTTGCGCTCGGACTCCGGATCCACCTTCAAGGTATATAGTTTAAAGTTAAGTTATAAACAATACAAATTAGGTAATACAGGGATTATACTTTTTTGTGGGTGGTACATGGGGGCTTCGCACCATGGTTTTCGCGAGAAGTGCCTCGATTTCAGGATCGTGCTCAGCAGATTCACTTTCAGCATTTTCTTCTTCACAATCACCATCGTCACAGTCTTGGTCAGTATCAGCAACACCCAGGCCAGAACCCAAAGAAGAGCCTCAAGACATGCAGGGTCCAACATGTGATGAAAGGGCACTCAGCGCGGGCTCGTATGTTGAAAGAACTTTGAGAAACATGTACCGGTATCCAGAACACACATCATCCCATGCCAAAGAACTAGATCCAGCTCGACACTCAGGGATGGGAATCCCTGCGACCTCCATCAAAGTTCTGAACTCCGGTTCGCGAGGTCTATGTCCTCGAGAGGCAGCCCTGCTGAAGGCGTACGTCAAGGACCGAATGAGCCAGGATTCCAATTTGATGGCTTGGCCTGGGCCATTTCACCGGGACCCTACCCCAAACAATGGTCCATGACTAGTATGGCACGTACATGGGAAACATAAGTCCCTGACGAGTTGGCATTTTCCTTCCACGAGGCCAGCAGTGATTGAGAAAGAGTGTTGACGCTTCAGTGAGCAAAGACAGAGAAGGCCGAAGTCCTGAGTACAGGAAAGTAGACGCCCCCCTCCCAAACACTTGTGTGCACACAACATCACGCAACGTCATGCAACCAAATTTCCCATATGCTGGACAACAGGACTTAGGACTGCCAAGTTCTTGCACACCTCCTGTCTTCCAATGTGTTTTTTATCAGCCACCCGTGCCATGACGCCAGTGGCCGCAAGATCAGATAGGCTCTGATCTTCTTTCCACGCTGCCACCACAGCATTGACAATCGCAGCCGTGTCCATGATGCTGATCAAAGACTTGTGCCGAAAGCTACTCCAAAGTATGACATGAGAATCGGCATATTGACTCACATGACTTTAGTTCCATGGTTCCACAACCAAGCCCCTTTCCATCCCTTTCCCGTGGCTAGCCTCGACTTATGCCAGGACCATGAGACAAAGGTCTTTGACCGTGTGTACCTGCAGCACACACCGGGCCAAGGGATAGCGCTGGGGAACTAGAACACTTTGATGTGAGAATCTGGGGCACTTGGTCACGTGATCAGCAACTAGGCCAGAGCTTTATGAGCAAGATGGCTCTGGGAAGAGTAAAACGCTCGAATACAAAAAAGTGCACGTTTCTAAAAAATACGCGCCTTTGCCTGAAGAACGCTCGAGATGCCGAAAACCTATACGAAAAGGTGGTGGTGCACATATAAGTGCACGTTTGAAGTTCTAGGTCCTTAATGCAGCTTCCGCCTTTCCATGTGGGTCCCGTTAAATACTTTGAGCTAGGGGGACACATCATTGGGAAGAATAGTGGGGAGCAAGGCCCTTTTGAGCATAGCTTGCGAATTTGCATACTCTTTTGAGGGAACACCACCAATATCATGCTGCACCATCTACAAATCCACTGCTGTATTGTGAGACCGAACTCCTTCTCCTCTTGTGCTTGCTCGAAGATCAAGCGAGTCATCGGTCTCAAAACGAACCAAACAAACACACATAACCCTGACCTTTGTGAACACGTGAACAACCTCCAAGATATACATTTATATACAATATAGATATATAGATAGATATACACCAAGGAATATCACTTCCAAGTCACCTATCGTACCAGTGCTTTCAATCGACCTGCAACTCCCCCGCCACGAGTGTGTTGGCATCGCGAGTGTGGCATCCCTCCTGCGGTCCTGGCAGTTTTCCACGTTCTGACACCATGCCCAATGCCCGAAGTAGGACAACTGCACCTGCGTTTGTTTGCTCAGTGGAGAATGGAGAATCGAACGATGGACCAAGGATCTTGAACCTAGCATGCTACGTCCAGATATAGCTATATATACCAGAACTACGGGGACCTTCTGTTTCTTCCCAGGTGGCGCAGTATTCTGCCCAAGAATCTCCAGAATCCCAGTCAAACATTTGAACTGCTAGCCATTGAGCTGTGGGTCCGTCCAAATATCCTTTGTGACAAAGATGCCGTTGTCGGGCGTAAGAGCTGTGCGGGACCTTTTTGGGGCCCTTGAAGAAGGCTTTGACTCGACGAAAACCCACCAAAAATATCTGCCTCAGTTTCATCCTTCAAGGCTTCCAGCAAGGCATTGGAGACACCCAGCGCCAGGCCACTGTGTGAGCCCACCGCGGCAATGGCCAGCCGCGAACCCTTCGCTTCAGTTGCTTTCGGAGGCGCCAAGTGGGGCTGGAGCGCACCTGCCGGAGTTTTCAAGAACCATGCAGCGGCCTCCGTCATGATGTCGGGGGGTTAGCCAAATGAGTTTGCAAGTGAAGCTTTGTGAAAAGACTAGTAAAGAGCCGCGCAGCTCCAGTCTTACAGTTTTTGTTCTCCCTTCATTTGACTCTGCCCGTTGGCAGCCCAAGGGGAGAAATTCATAAGCACGGATGTCGTTTAGGGCTAAAACAGTGCACTACCAATCTTCACCGAGGCCAAGTCCCTATTTGTTTTGGTTCCAACAAAGCCAACGCACATGACCCAACGACTGATCCATACCCAAACCAGAGGGTTGGCCGAGTGACTGTACAATCCTTTGGCCACCATCTTCCATTGCACCTCCTCTGCCAACACAGCTGTGGAGAAGTTTTCCTGACATTGAGGGACGACCTTGCAGTGCTCATGGTACCAAGGCTCCAGTGTCAGGTCACCGCTTTGTTTTCCAGTGGATTCATCCACCAAATGGCCCAAGTCAGATAAGATCAAGCTCAAGACTGGTTGCTGATGCAGAAGCTGAAAGAGCAGCTGCATCGGTTTCGACTGCAGGAGCTGCTGGAATAAACATCCCGACTCTTTGCCCGAAAGATCTTGCGCCAGATCGCTCGGCATCGGCTCCAGTGCTCCAGGCAAAACAAATCCTTGGAAAAAAAAACAACACAGATTTCCCATGCTAAGGGATTCATCCATATGGGACAATACATAAATCTATATAAATCTCATTACAGTATATAAATCCAAAAACATCCCTAATTCAAACCAATAATCCCAAGGTTTGGTAGAGCGCCATTGAGCCATCGCCCAAGGTTGGCATCTCCGAGGTGGAAAGCTGGCAGCTCAGCCAACCAGGAAGCGCCGCTTCCTGGAACTCCGTATGATTCCGTTTGTGTCCTTTCCCCCTTTTCAATGGAGAGAACTGACCTATCCACAGCCCCTCAAGCACTTGCATGGCTTCGACACTCATAGACAAGCTGCCCCAGCAAGAAGTAAAGCTGATGTCAGTTTCTTCATGTTCCCGATCGAGGTGATCTTTGAGGAGGTACATTAGCCAGGCATCATGATCTCATCACGGGCCGATGGGTAGGAAGATCAGAAAGTAAGGATGGTGCAAGACACTGAGCACTGTTGTTCGCAAGGTCAATCAATGCCTGAGCCTTAAAGTGCTTCTGGTCTGTGTGTCATGGCAAGTGAGCCATTGGCATACAGACTTCCTATTAAACAAGCTGGCTTCGAGCCACAGCTGCAGGACTGCAGGATTGCTGCCATTCGGCGGTGTGTGAACAGAAAAAAGGGCTGGCGAACGTCGCCTCACCTTCCAACAAAAGTGGAGGACACGTCGAGTTCAAAACCGAAAGAGCAGTTGAAAGAGCAGTTCTCAGTATCCCCTGCGACACCATCAACGACAGAACACGACTCAATTGCTTCCAACTCGGCCGCCAGGTGGTGCCAGGCCTTCCGGCAACAGGCATTGCCAGGTCCACAGAACTCGGTACAGGTGCCAGCTCCAAGGCAGGGCTGCCAGCAGTCGTAGCCTCGCTGTCCGCGCCCGTTCGAACAGGAACGAGGCCTCGTTCGTCGGGTTGAGACTGGTGTGGAACGCTTGTTTGTTCGGATCCAGCGCTGCACCAAACAGGAACTGCCAAACAGGGCACTGATAAGAACCTGTATGAATCCCTCGCACTGGTACCCCAAATAACCCACATCATATATCCTAGGACCTAGGGGACAAGCTGAATCTCGTATCAAACTTCAGGACACTCAATCATCGCCTTGGCTTGATTCTGCAAGACCCAATGAGAGTCGCGCCACATGATGGACTCGTATCCTCTCATATGACTCATATGCATATATAACCAAACATAACCAAACTATATTAACAATTGTATCTCCTGCCTCAGCACTGTAAAAGGCCAAACATGCAGGTTGTTCCGTATGGGCCACTGGACGACAGCTTTCTCATCCAAATTGTCCAAATGCGTTCAGGACAAATACAATGGCAAAAGGAACACCTACAATAGAAGCTACTAGGGGCTCCTGGCATCGCTACTAGGAACAAGGACGCTACGAATGGGGCTCCTGGCCTTACTACTAGGAGTGATCGGACGCTACTAGAAACAATATTTGACAAAACACAAACAACTCAGTTGGCAGATTCTACAAATCCTCGCACCAAGGCCCCGTCCACGATGAAGCACCGGCAAGGGGATAAATCCTGGGTCCTGCCAAGCCGTGGGGGGGGAGCCTGTCAACGGATTGAGGGATACAGTAGGGCTGGCAACTTATGCAAACAATTCAGGTGGGTCAACTTGGGGACCTGCTCATGGTGGTGAAGATTTCTTGGGTTGAAGAGCGCCAGGTTGCCAGTTGGCTCGCCACGCCTACTGAGTTACTGGCACCTTCTATGCTTGTAAGGTGAATCAAGCAAGGCCCACGCAAGATTTACAGTACCAAAGAGATCGATTCAGAACTGTCTTTGCAAACTCATTCAACTGTAGAATCCATTTCCACACAATCCTGATCCAACTCCCAGAGACGCCTTCCAAGGTCAACATCTTTGCATCGGACATGTCGTGTTTCTGAGGTGCCCACGGGTGGTTTTGAGGCTGGATGAAGAAACGGATTCTGCTCTTCCTTGGCACAAGGGTCTTGAGCGCCCACGCGGTCTGCACACAAAGAAGTGCAAGAAGTGGGATACACCCAGCCAGTGCAGGAAACACATTTCGAAGTCGGGTCATCTCTGGCGTTGATAACTGCGTTGATATTGTATCATGTGATCGACGCTCTATCCTCCAATCACCCAAATCTCTAGTGTTCGAGACGTTTCAGTACAAGTCACCAGCATCAACCTTTTTCATCCTTTTTCACTGCGGCTGCACCTAGCTGTCTGAGCTTGGCTTCCCTTCTCCGCAACTCCTCCAAGAAGTCATCCTTGAACCAGCGCCAGGTCAATGAGACGCGGGTGGAAGACACTGGCGGTACTTCATGAGCGAAGTCGTAACGTGCAGGGCCTTCTAGAGAGATCACCATCCCATCGCACTCCTGCGAAAGGCGTTGCAAAAAGCGACTTGGAGACACCTGAGAGCATTCTCAGGCGTCTCCAATGGGTCTCCAATGGCTACCATGGGGCTCCTGGCATCGCTACTAGGAGCAAGGACGCTACTGGGGGCTCCTGGCCACACTACTAGGAGCAAAGGCGCTACTAGGAGCAAGTGGAGAGGGCAAACCACCGACCATGCAAGCCGCTGCAAGAATCCAAGCCTCCAGTGGCTTTTTGCTTGGAAGGTCGCATGCTCGCTCTGTTGACCAACTCAGTTTTTACTATATATGTCTATTCCAAGTTTTTGGTTTCACCAGGGATGCGGACACTTCTCGTGCCCTCCCTTACTTCCGCACCACAAACACTGTAGTTTCACCCCCCAACCGTCGTCTTCTCCTGCACTTGAAACCCTGGCTCCACCCGCAGCTGCGCCGAAATCTCTCCAGCCACACCACCCAGCGCCAGCAGTGTCGAGCCATCGCCTGAATCCTTTAGGCCGCCACAAAGGCGGAGCCCATCGGAGGGGGCGGCTTGTAAGATCAACGCGAGGATGGGCTCTTGAAACATCTCCGTGTTGTCCTCAGCCAACGCGGTGTACTTTTTCTCATGCTCGCATGACACAGTTCTGGCGTGTCTGGAATTGGTAGGTGTTGTATTTTTCTTCAGCAACGTGAAGGATACCTACTGGAGAAACTGTGCACATGTGTCACATAGCGTTATTTCCCATGGAAGAACTCGATGTTTTATTGAACAAAGATGACGAGCGGTGGGACGTCGGCCCCTGATCGCCCTCCAGTGTTGGGCCAGTCGCCTTTCCATTCCAGACGAGTTCCAATCCGTTCCACATGACATGCACAAATACACCTCAACCTGGAACTAACCACACGACTTGACTCATTTGACGGTGGAGATCGGTGGAGTGTAGTGTCCAAAGCTTTTGCCCAGCATCAACATGTCTTGGCAGGCTGCTACCTGCTTTGTATCGGCGCGCCATGCCATTTGCCAGGCTATCTCGGAGGGCTAATCGATCAAGTCCTGCCATGGTCACACACTGTCTGTGCACAGCACGGGGGCAGCTGAGCTTTGGGGAATACCGCGAAAGCTGTAGCTGTGAGACTTAGCTTTGACTTTGATACTGTTTGGATGATTTGCATTGATTTGCCACGTGTAGATGGAGTATTCATGAGCATTCTATGATAGTCCCCTTAGAAAGGTCTTTTTGCCAAGACATCTCAGCATGTCGTCCGAACTCGATGTCAATACATCATCCAGTACCGGAGGCACTTGCCCATCACCATCTATGCCCAGATCGACTTCCCAATCCCGTCCTAAGAGCTCCAAGGCCGCATGTAGCAATTTCCGGCATCTGGGCAGCTCCGCCAACGGCACCGTTGGATGAGACGCTCGTCGGGATGAGACACTCGTCTCTGACATCTCGTCTTTGAGGAGCACGCCATTCAGCGATGCACCATGTCGAGACTTGATGGAATAAAAGCTCTTCCCCAGTTCCAGCAAGCGTGGAAAGCTCTTTTTCAAAAAGCCGCGGTCTTTCAGCTCCAGCAGGGCCTCTTGGGCCAAGGCCGGCAAGGGGCCCTTGATTCGAAGACCTTGGGGTCTTCCAGGCTTGGCAATCAGGTCATAGGATGGAACACCTCCATGTCGTACCCAGAACCTGGGTGTCTCCAGAAGCCCCACAGCCGGCATGGCATGGCTGACCTGCTTACCTTTCTCAGAGACTATATAGTGACTATATATAGAAGCTTGAGCACAAGAAATGCCTGGGTCTCTTTTGCTTCAGAAGGTGCTCAGACAGGCCAAAAGGGTGTTTTTTGTATAATAACTGTCGTATCGTCCTTGCTTGAGCCGACACCTCGCAAATAGATGCACCAACAAATAGCCAGCCAGTGTATGCCAGTGTCATCTTTGCTGCAGCAAGCCTTGAATAAGTTGCATCTGAGACTCATCTGGATTGTTCATCGGCAACATGCCATTGCCCTCGTCGCTGGATGTAGGGACGAAAAGACCAAGAGTCTTTGAGAGACCTGGCTGAACAAACAAAGCCAGGCGAACTCCAGTTTTCGATTGGTCTCTTCAGTTTTTGAAAAGGATGGAACGGCAAATGATGAACACGATGAACACCAGTTCTCTGACAGTTGCTTTAACAACGGACTTGAGTCAAAAGTGAATTATATTTGGATGATTTTGGATGTCACTGCAATCCCTCGCATGTTTTCTGCCATGTTTTCCCTGTGCATCGGGTCCAGTAATCAAAGTCCCGAACCGTGGACTCCGAACTTCCTACGCATACTGCAAGCGAAACATGCGCCGAAAGCAGGCACAGCTCGTGCAGCTTGCGGAGCTCCGAAGAGTCACCAGGGTCTTCCGTTCGACCCCATGGTCGGCACAGGGGTCGACACCAGGTCGGCACAACGCAAGAATCTTCACAAAGGAGCATCCTCCATGTCGATCGGCAAGAATCTTCCCGAACCTTCAGGATCGACTTTCAACAGCTCAGGTGCACATTCAACCATCATGCTTGAAGAAAGATAGTTCTCAGCACGTGTCTCACCCGTCTCTGATAAAAGCGGCTTGTCCATGTCTGCACAACAGCAAGATCTCTTCTTTGTAGTTGTGGATCTCTGAATGATCTTTGGGTGGAGCTCTTTTTCGAGCTGCTCGATCGCTGAAGCTGGATGGAAGGCATCGCTACTAGGACACTAGGAGCAAGGACGGTACTCGGTGCTCCTGGCCTTACTAGTAGGAACAAGAAGCTACTAGGGGCTCCTGGCACCGCTACTGGGTGCAAAGGATGCTACGAACGGGGCTCAGGAGATGGGCTTGGACCGGACGCAGGTCGTGTCACTCAGTGGCCAAGTGGCATGGCCTCTCTGGGCCTCTCTGTACGCTCCAAAGCCTCTCACTGATACTTAGCGTCCGATCGCTCCGTTCGTAGCGATGCCCTTTGTTACTAATAGCTTCTTGCTCCTAGTAGTATGGCCAGGAGCGCCCCGTTCGTAGCGTCCTTCATTCTTGCTTCTGAACGTTTGCAACAGAAGGAACTCATCCTGTTGGGCTTCGCCGCTTCGCCAAGGAACTCGTCCAGTTGGGCACTCCTTTTCCGGAGGTTTCCAAGAGAGTTCATAAAAGCATTGCTGGAGAAGTATATGAGGTATTCAAACATATTCAAACACTGGTCTTCCTCGAACCTTCTAAAAAAGATCATACACGTTGGAACCACAAGGAAGTACTTATCGTAGTCTATCGTCGAGGCGCACCAGTATTGCTTGAGTATTCCTGACCGGGCCATGCAAAGGCCTTGAGCCCAAAGAATATTGATTCAGTGATTTCATGTGATTCTGCACTTGGATCCGCATTTCAGCACCCCCCCACGTGACAAGTGCGAAGAGCATACTATCGTTACATATCGTTACAAGGCCCATATCGCCGTCGCAAACATCTTCACCTCGAAGCCGCAGCGCAGATGTAAAAGAAGTTGTACCTGCAAACAGGTCAAGCATTCCAGCAGCAGTTCAACTTAATATCCAGGCTTATTCACAAGGTATGTCATACTTTCACACCTCCTACTACTACTGCTACTACTGTATATCACATGTCTTGCATGAAGAGGTGCAGGGCCTTTGTTGTCAAACCGTGTGCATGTACTGGCACAATGACGGATAGTCGCCAAGACGCACACGAACTACTTCAGGCTATATAGTACAAAGTGCAAAGCAAATTTCCTCCAGCAACTTACTTGGGGCATGTTGTCTGATGCCAAGAACAATCAAATCAAAAAACTACGTACTTCCCTTTTTGGATCCTTTTGGCATTTTCCTCTTTGTCAATGTGTGTTGGGGTCTTCCCCCATGACATGGACGTGAGTCGAGTGGCCTCTGGAAATCAAAGCAGCAATGATCGCCAGTGGCACCAAGGCAAGTAGCCTCCAAAAAGGAAGAAGCAACTGTTTCACGGTATTCCTTGTCATTGCCCAAGGATAAAATTCAAGACTTCAACTTGACTTTCATGACTTGTGTTGAAAATCCTTCGAAATCTCCTGGAGTCGGATCCCAAATTGACAAACACTGGTTGCAATACCACCAATGTGGGAGATTTGCGGATGGAGACCTAGTCAAATGTGCCAAGCCTCCAGGCCAAGTGCGACCTTTGCGCAGAACTCGGCTCATCTTCCTGGAGTTTCGTTTTGGACAATTTAAACATCAATAATTAGGACTATATATATATATATATGTGGTTGTGTATTTCTCGGACCATGACAAGAAGTTTTGATACTCCACACTGCATCTGCTTCGAGATACCTACATGTGGTCGGGAACGCTAGAGAAGCTGCCGAGCCTGAGAAGTTCGCGAAGACTTAAAGAACTCTTGTCCAATCCGATCACCGCAGTCCAGGTTCTGTGATTCCCTGAGACTTTGTCCAGGTTCTGTGTCACACGGTTTCGCTGCTAGGCCGCTAGGCGCATGGATCATTGGACCCTCCATGTCCTCTGCAGTCAAATCTTGCGTCAATGGAGTGGTTTCCATGGCAAAGCTTTGTTGCCACAGGCGAGTTTGCGAGGAGTTTTGTTCTACAGCAACTGCTTCAAAAGCTGGACATGGACCAAATGCCTCCTGTGCAAACACAGAATAGATGCTCCTAAAACCTGATGTGAACCAATTAGCACAAAATGCTGGCTGAGTTACGAGTTCTGCATGGTGGCCCTGGAAAACTGCCTACCCGGGCCTACCCGCTAGACATCCGCCTAGACCTCAAACCAAACAGCTCAGGTTCGGCACAAAGTGTGGTGCTTTGCAACATGCCACAACAAGCTTGAAGATTCTCAGAAGGAGCATGGCACTCTGTCTCAAATCTCACCTCACAAACCTGTTTCCTATTGTTTTTTGGCCCCACTGCCCAATGAATCTCTCCACTGCCCAATCCCGCCAGAAAGCCGCCCAAGTAGTCACACTTCTCGACCTCATGCTGAACGCGCTCAAGAACCTGCTGCGCAAACTCACGCCTGTTGAGTGAACGTCGGACGAGCGGCGCTGAACCGGAGAACAAAAAACAAGATCTCAGCTGTCTCAGGAGATTTTTGTTCACAACGAACTTGTTTGTTTACACAGGAACAACTCCGCAAGTCTTCGTCTGTATTGAGCAAGGTCATCATCACCTCCTGGCAGTTTTCTCCCAAACTCTGGCCTTTTCCTGCAAACTTGGGCCGTGGATGTTGTAGCCACAAGCCTCAGAGTCCCAGATGCGACGATCAGAAGTCTTTCAGCAAGTTGACGGACATCATCTTCCTCGTTCCATCTTCCATGTGGGCCGAAACACGGCCAGGCCAAGAAGTTTGATCCACTCTGATCGAATCCAGTTACTGGGCCGGGCACCCAGTTGTTGGCAGCTCCACCAGCATGGTACACCGCTTGCTGTGGAGAATAGCGCCACGGTCGAAGCACCTGAAAAGGGGCTATATGAGCGGATTTATTTCACATGTTTTTGTTTGCAGTGCTTTTCTATGATTCATTTTTTCTGATTCATGATCTTGTCCATGCCATCGCTAGTAGGTTGGAGGCCATTGCTATTAGGTTATTATCCTTATTGTCCAAATCTTCCCTCTCACACCTCCAGGCACTGTTGCACGACCCGAGGCTCAGTGTCAACCAAGACCTCGACCAACCAAGACCGAACAAACACCGTGCAACGCTGTTAGGGGCTGTTGTTCCTCAGAAACAACGATGCCAAAGACCGTTAATGTAAACGAATCCTGTAATTCAAGCGTTGCATTCGTTGCGATCATGGTCTTCCTCAATAACGCTCTTGAAGAAGCTGCAGAGGACATTGTTTCTTAAGTTTGGAAGAGCGAGTGGTGAAAGGACAGCTGAAAGAGAAGCACACCAATTATATATATACTCCTGTACTATGTTCCTGAAAGGAAGGTGAGGCCAAATGAACAACTATCAAAGACTGAGACACTGGCCGCACGTGCTGTGGCCTGCAACAAATGAAGACTCCTAGTTGTGCGCCACGTGCAAAACTCCAAGCCCTAAACCGTAAATGGCACTTCAACTTGACCCCAGGCCTGTGCCGGGAATGGAATAGAACTTCCATATTCCACATTTGCTGGCCTAAAGCTATTGTGGCCACAAGCCAATTAATCAGGTTCCACCACAACCATCCGAATGCATCACAATTCTGCTTCGACACAGTACAAAAACATTGTGCATGTGCTAACTAATCACTAATCATGCTACCCCGATGACCTCAGGGTGTTGCCTTCACAATGAAAACAAGTTTTCCAGCATGCATGACTCTGACAAAATTTCATTGTTGGAATCAGTTGGAATTTGGAGCGACAGCAAGTGCAACACCAAACATGTTGCCTCACATTTGCCGACCGAATTTGCCTTTGCCTCAAAGAAAGGGGACTTCAACTGTCACCACGTGCCATACATCTTAATAGTCCTAAAAGCAGGCCAAGAACATGAACATGATCCTTGTACTACATGGATCACAAAGTGCTTTCAGTTTCACTGCAAGGGATCACTAACACTATTAGGTTCACCCATATATGGGATGAATGTTGTAGTAACTCTACACCAACAATTCGGACAATCTTCCCTCCCCCACATTTGGCGTTTGCACCGCCTGAGCCTTCGTTTCGGAACCTGTGACAGGGCACATCTCTCTGCTGGCGAAGATCACAATCCAGTACAAATCCATAAGATTTTTTGTGACCCTCAGGGTTCATCACCCACCCTAGTTGTCCCAAGCACCACAAGCAAAGCCAAAGGATGCCAAAGGTATCTCCCAAAGGTCTCTCTCAGTCTCCATTTTTGCCGGCGAACAGCCTGTGACTTCACTGGTCAGTCACATGATGCGTTGATTTCCCGAACGGATGTTGATTCCTCCGGAGGTTCGACCCGTCGGACGAGCAGGCGGCGAACAAGAGGACAACTCTACCATTGACACATGATCCATGAATCCATCCTCTGAGCCAAGTCATCTCCGGACTCTTTTTCTTAAATAGTCTTGTCCGAAAGCATCTCGGCCGCATTTTCTTGGTCATATTTCATGACCTCCTGGGTCCGTCGGACTCCGATGTAAAGCAGTGGGGGTCAGTTGGAGCGTCATTTTGATCTGGCGGTTCTTTGAACATCCCTTGTCTGCTCTTGGTGGATCATTGCTTCCTCTGAAGGAAACATGGTGGGTTTGGGTGCAACACGAGATGTCCCATCCAGCCTGCACAGTTTGAGCACTGTCTGGATCATAGGGTGTGAAATGGGCAGGAGTCAGGTCTTTGGCATCCCTTACACCTTTGCAACATTGAGCAGGTTATATAATATCTCAGCATTCTGTCGTGGAGGGTTTCAAACCTTCTTCAGTGCCTCTTTCCTCGACATGTGGCACCTGATTCCTGCGCACCAGAAAGAGTACATTTACAGTAATTACTAAATAGATGGACAAACCATCAAACAAACTGCTCTGGGATCGTATGCTCGTTGCATGATCCCTAGGCGCGAGCTTCACCCAGCTCAACCTGTCGTGGCTCTCCAATGTCCTGCATCAGCCTCATGTCACGACGTCGACGGAAGAAGAACACTCCACCCCCGATGAGAGCTGCAGCGACCAGCAGCAGCACAATCACCTTGGATTGGAACAAATGTGGTGGTGAATCAACCACGGAACACCTACATGCACACTTCTTGCAAGAATTCTTCCAGGCTCACACGCTACGTAGCTGTCCCAGTGTCTTCCATTTGCCCCAATCTCCCCATCTTTGAATATCAAAGCCCGAAGTCCCGGGACTCCCCCAGTGGCCAAAGGCATCAGCAAAAGAAATATCATATAGACATATATACATGCATATGTACTGCCCTGCACTTAACAAAGTCAAAAAATGACTTTCCTCATTTGTGGCATGTTTAAATTCCCTATGAGTTGGGGAGAAGGCTGGGATGTCTGGCTTGAACCCCCCAAACATAGGGCACCCCGTGAAGTCACAGCTTTCTGTCTTTAGGACCCGTTGTGATTTGGTAGGGCATGGAACAAGCATGTGCTCTTTAGTACCATCCGTACAAAATTACAGCAGCAGTGCTGTTATTGAATCTCTGTCTACACATTCAAGCAAGGATATGATTCTCTAGAACATGTGGAAAGTCAAGTCTCTGACCACTGTTTGGACTTTCGGCGGACGACATGTTTTTTTTCTTGCTGGTCACCCTGATTGAAACTATTTATTTTCAAAATGCAGCTGCACTTAAGGAAATCAGTGCAGTAAGGGGAGGGCATGCCATACCCCCCCCTTAGGGAGGTCGGTAGCGCTACCGACCTCAGTAAGCCCATGGCTCTCAATCAATGGGGCATGGTTTTTTGCATTGATTTAAGCATCCCTGAATTATTTTCACCTGCACTTAAGGAAATCACATGGAGGTTTACTGCAGTCGGTAGCGCTACCGACTGCACTAAGGGGAGGGCATACCAAGCCCTGTCACTACTGAGGTGATTTCCTTAAGTGCAGGTATTAAACCTTTTGAATAGGTGAATTATTTTCAATTCTAAGTTCGAATTGGGGGAGATGGTCCACCATCAAAGGAGAGAGTAGGAGAGAGAGGGGCGTGAAGCCTGGCTGCCTGACCGATTGTTCATTTAACAACCAGAAATGAGCTTTACGGCTACAGGACCGTTTGGCTGCATGACAGATCTCCGGTTTGGCTGCATGAGGGTCTCCTTTGCTTTACCCTTGTCCCATGGGCAGGTTAACCCACCTTTTCTATTCGGGTTTTAATGTTATTTATTGACCCTGAGCATCCGATATTGATTACAATCAAGATTTGAAAAGTGATATTGATTTCAATGTTTTTCAATAAAAAATATTGATTTCATAGCCGGCCAAAATCAAGATTTTCTATTGATTTCAAAGGTCATGTTTGAACATCAAAAAGCAGGAGACAAAATCAATATCAAAATCAATATTTTCATAGCCACAACCTGCCCCAGATCCCTTCCACCCAACCAGCAAACACACCTTTTTTCACACTGCATTGCCAGGGGTGAAACTGCTGCTTTGGGTGAGACTGCTGCTTTTTCAAGCTCTTCTTGCCTTTTCCAAGGGCATGCTTTTGCAAGCAAGTTCCCTTTGTCAAGGGCAAGCTTTTTCAAGCATTCCTTTCACAAGGGCCAGCTTTTGCAAGCTGGATTGCTGGCAAGGGCAAGCTTTTACAAGCAAGCTTTTGCTAGCCAATGCACCTGGCAGTGGATGAAGCATGCATCCTTTCTCAAGGACATTCCTTTTCCAAGGTGCCGTGGCATAGCAATGCCCTTTTGCAAGGCTTCCCCAGGAGAACCTTTTGCAAGGGTTATCCTTTTCCAAGGGCTGGTACTTCAATTGCAACCCAAGACCTTTTGCAAGGTCAGACCAGGGCCCTTTTGCAAGGCCCCTTTCTCAAGGGTTAGTGGAGGTTTCCAGCCTGAAGCCTGGTCTGGTGTACAGGAGGTGCAAAAGAATCCTGTACTTGGGCGCAAGCTTTTGGCTGAGTTTTGT